TGTAAGGGATGGTCGCTTTCTCTTTTGCGCTGTTGCCATTTTAGTGCGGTGTTGCCAGATTGTTGGGTTTCCTCTATGTTTTTAATGAGGTTAAACAAAATGGAATTATGGTAGTCCTCTTTCTTATTTAGGAGGGTGTCAGGGTTAGTGTTAATTTGCTTATATATTTCAAGACCTTACAATTACAAGACCTTCAGGCAAAATAGGTAAATAATTACTGTATAATACAGGTCTTGTCACTGGGTTCAAAAAACATTGAATTATGGCCAGCCAAGCCGTCCCAGTTAACCAAATCGTCAGTAAATTGACTAATAAACAGATTCAACTAATGAAAACCCAGCTCAATATTGAATACAACAAATAGTGAAAAAGTCAATCAGTCATACTGAAATACATATCAATAACAATCAGAAATAAATCTGAGGCTGCCCAGAAAACATTACAACAAGCAAAAAAGCTTTGGCTCAACAATGAATTAAAATTTCTATATAAAAAGAAATCAAAACTCCATAAAATCATCACTTCGTCACACGTTAAACTCCCAGGAATACTACCATATAATAAATAATATTTCAGAAAAAGTTAGCAAGGAAAAGAAACAAAAAGAAATCACACAGGAAAGAAAACTAACACAGCTGCACCCACGTCCAAACCACACAATCCCACAAAACACACATGAATTTTACCCAAAGATTATAAATCTAACAAACATTTCATTCAAACAAAACGAAACCAAAATACTAGAACTGAACCAAAAACTCCATTTTGAATCTAATAATCATAACAAGCAGAACATTATCAACAATCTTATCGATGCAGAAATTGCACTTCAAAATGTAAAAATAGAAGACAGGGAAAAAATCAGATACGGGATTGCTAACATAATTGAAAAAGAACTCAACACTCCACGATCAATCCATCAAAACACAAATCCACTAAAAATGGCCAATGAAATCAAAGAAAAACTCATTCAAAATAAAGCACTAATAATACCGGCAGACAAATCAAATTCCACCGTAATAATCTACAACAACGATCTTGATTCTAAAGTTGAAGATTTCCTTAAGACTAATGAAGTAACTGTGATCAAAGATCCCACTAAGGAATACAACAAAGAAATCAAATTATTCCTAGACAACAACTCTATTATTCATCCAGACAGTAGAAAATACCTTTACAATAACTCTCCAGCACCCCCAGTATTCAAGCCACTCATCAAAACACATAAGGACAACAATCCAATAAGACCAGTTATAAATGCCATACCCTCGCCATCCTATAAGATCGCCAAGTATGTACCTTAATAAAAAATGGCATAACAAACACATCTCCAGTGTCATGTAAAAACACGAAGGACTTCATCCAGAAAATATCTGAAATTAAAATACAAGATAGATACACGCTTGCAACAATAGATGTAGACAATATGTAACGAAACATACCAAGAAAAGAAGCCATCGAGATACTCAAAAAAGACTTACCAACTGTGAAAATTTTGATGAAGAAGAAATAAATGATATTATTAAAATTACAACAACAATAACGGAACAAAACTATTTCTCTTACAATAATAAAACATACTATGACCCCAAAGGTCTTCCGATGGGAGGTCCACTATCAGCCACCTTAGCGGAGCTATTTATGCAAAATTTCGAGGAGCAACATATATTATCAGAAAAAAAAACCCATATTTCAACAAAATCAAATTTTATGCTCGGTATGTTGATGATGCCTTCATCGTACTAAATGCTAACCAAAAACAGGCAAATAATTTCTTAACACACGTAAACAAAACACACAATAGCATCAAATTTAAAATGGAAACTGAACTAAACCATTCTATAAGCTTTCTTGACATAACAGTCACTAAAACTCAAAACCAAGCAGTTAAAATCGGAATGTTCAGGAAACCAACACAAACAGATCTAGTTATACCAGCAGAATCAAACCACCCTTACAACTAAAAAATGGCAGCTTTTAGATAATTAACATATAGACTTCTCAACTACAATCTTGACCAAAAAGAGTATGAAAAAGAATAAGAAATCATAAAAACAATAGCGTCAAATAACGGTTACAATCCAACAATCGTAGAAACTATGATCTGCAAAACCCGAAGGAAAATTAAATCCAACACACAAATTGAACATTCAAATCAGTCGAACCCGGAAAACCAAAATCTATATAAATAAAATTAGAGTTTTGTCTGTACATTGCTTAGAATAATGAACTTTTTGGTTATTTTTACATTTCATAGGTCAGAGAAACCGAATCAAACCTTATCTCAATTTCTGTCTGTCTGTCTGTCTGTCTGTCTGTCTGTCTATCTGTCATTCTCTTGGTAACGCTAAAATACGCACTTTATTACAACTACTCCTCAATAACTATAGCACTGTCCCGCCTGAAACTTATTTTCCAAATACTATACATATATGAGATGGTTTTAGACGTATTTCATCGAATATGAGACAGTTAGATATTTAACAGTAAACCCTTGAAAATCAAGTTTTTGTCGATTTTTGACGTGGAATTTCTGGAAGCCCATGTTAACCTTATGAGAAATGAAATTATTGAATCTTAACAGCTGTTTCAATTAAACAAGTTGGTTCTGTTCTGTGATGTTCAATAGCATTAAAGTTACAAGGATTACCAACAGGGTGCAGCACTAGCACTATTATTTCTTTTACATTTATGACAACAGCTAATTTGCAACCTGGAGGCGAGTGAGCGTAGCGAACGAGCTAACCTGAAGGCAAGTGAGCGTAGCGAACGAGCTAACCTGAAGGAAAGTGAGCGCAGCGAACGAGCTCCAACATACAGGTGAGTGAGCGTAGCGAACGAACTTCAACCAGGACGTGATTGAGCCATGCAAACGAGATCAGATAGTAAAAATAAAAGTAAGCCTACCGTTATAGGATCGACCGGCAGACACAGAGGTAATTTAACCTTTTATTGATTGTCATACCGATCCGGAACAACAAAAAACAACATAAAATGAAGCTATGTATAATAGTTTGGCCAGCATATCTTAAAATATGCAAACCAACTGCTGTTCGTTATATAAGAAGGTTTCAACTGAATATTATAAGATCCCCGTGCGTAGAACGGGTACACAGCTAGTCAGAAATACATAGCAATCAAATACACCAAAGTAGGCTACACACCAGCTTAAAAAGTTAAAACCAATCCAGTGCCCATTTACAAACAGGAAACCAACAAAGATAACCCAGATAATGAAAGAGGAGTCTATAAAATTACATGTGCGCCCCCCTGCAATAAACAATATATCGGCTACACAAACAGAGCTTTCAGCAAAAGATTCAAAGAACACAACACTCAACATCAAATATGTACATAATAACAGTAGTGTTTAAGAAGATACTCCGTGAAGATGCCGCACTGAGCGGCGAAATGCGCATCGAGTATTAGTTCAAACTACAAGACCTTCAGGCAAAATAGGTAAATAATTACTGTATTAGTTAGGTGTTCCTGCATACCTCACAGATAACATAAGAATAGGAACGGTCCAAGAACCGATCCTTAATGAACCGAATATTGTACCTGCATTAACTTAGATTTTATATTGTACAAATGTTGCTTCTAATTGCTTCTATTTTAATTCTGTGGTCGCTGGTCCCAGGACTAAATACCAATCCAAGATTCAATTAAATGTATTGTTTTTCATCTTCATGGCCTGTAACATTCCAGAATTCAAAATATTTCTAGTCAAACAGTTTCTAGTAAACCTGGCTTGAATCAGTGTGGTTCCCCATTGTACTACTCAGCATTCGCAGCGCCTATCGTGAAGACCTTTAAGCATCTACCACCGAATTAGTTTTTTGCCACCTACTGTGTCTTCCTGGAGAGCTTCTAGATCCACGTTGGAGAGCTTCAAGACACAACATGTGAAGAAGACCCGGCTAACAGTGTCGCTCGCTTACGGAGTCACATGTCAAATTTAAGACCTGTACCCATATCTTGTTATGATTATCTGAAGACCTTTGTTTTTCAAGAGTTAAAACTCACGTATTTTTATGAGATGATGCTATAAGACGTTCACTACAACCTCCTTACACTGGACCATTCCCTGTTGTATCTTGTGATGAGAACACTATGAAATAGTCGACCATGGTAAACATGGTAAAGAAACTTTAGACAGAGTAATCTTTAGCATGAAAATCTTACTCCTCCAACACCTAGCCTTACAATCTTGTACAACCTTGATCTTGTCGAACTGTGAAGTTGAAAATGCCATGTCTTTCAGACTCCGCAGAGGGCTAATGTGGTGCTACTACCCTGTCACAGGCAATCATTTACAATCTCTTGTCTTTGTCTTGAAAATTATTTGAACTATTTGTTTATTATAGGAGTAGCTATATTAACCTAGGCTACTCAGTACTGTTTTAACAATCTACTGGACCACACACATTTTTCTTTCTGTGTAATTAAATTACTGTCTTTACCTGATTGAATTATTTCAGTGCACACTTCCACTAGAAGGGCTTTAAGAGGACTTCAAACTGATTTTACTTACTTACTTACTTACTCCCATGGCCATCGATACCCAAGGTGGTATTTGGGTATGATTATGGTATTAAAATGCAAACTGATTTTAAAAGCTAAAATCCTTCAAATTCACTATTATTGACCGAGTTAAGCGATTTAAGTTTATATGATAATCTTGGCCCACGATGTAGTTCTAATAAGTCCATTGCCTCCCCTTAACATTACACCCTGAATGTATATCTCTCTCTATCATTGGTTGGTTTTACAATGCAAATATGTGGTTGTTTAGACCCAAAAGACCTAATTCTCTAACTGCTGTTTCAAAATATGTAGTATCTTCTGTTCTTAACTGTGAAAATAATTCCATTAGTGATAAAAAAAAAAACTTTAGGCATCTCTACATATTGTGTTTTGAAAAAAGACTGTTGACTGAGGGGACAGTTTGGGATAGCAACAATGTTTTTGAATACAGTTTTTTTTGCTTGTTTTTTCAGAGTGTTCATTTCATGATGTACGAGGTGTGTCAGAACCTGTGGAACCCTGACAGATCGTACAACCCTATGTTGCACATGGGGAGTGGTGCTATAGCAGGTGGAGTGGCAGCTGCAATCACTACACCACTTGACGTGTGCAAGACATTGCTCAACACTCAGGAAGGCAACAAGGTGATACTAATCATACAAGTTTTAATGTTTTAAATGGAATATACCTGGATTTAAATACTTTTCCAATACCATGGCTAGTGAAAAACAATATCTAATAAACTAAGGCAACTGTCAGATCTATAATATAACCGGTTTTCAAAACCAACTTTTATATTTATTATGTTACATTTTTAGGTATTAGATTAGAGTGAAAATAAACTCTTTATTGGTTTTAGATCCAGTTTTTAGATCATTTTAAGGGATTGTCTTTCATACACACACACACACACACACACACACACACACATACATTACATAGTAAACCCCCATGTATAAAACTTTTTCTCTAATATTTTACTTAGTTTTTTTTCAGATTTGTATCTTACTTAGAGTTTAGTATTGTTTTTAGTAACAGTAGACTATTTTTAATATTGTTTGGACAGACTCATCAACATATACACAACTGAATGAACATTGTGAACATTTACAGATGAAAGTATCGGGGCTAATCAATGCAATCAAGACAGTTTACAACATTGGAGGGCCGCTAGGCTACTTCAGAGGCATGAGTGCCAGAGTCATCTACCAGATGCCTTCCACTGCCATCTGCTGGTCTACGTACGAGTTCTTCAAGTACATGCTGAAGAAGCCGATCGTGGTGGAGACTATCGGAGAGACCCTAGACATAGCTGTAGCGCCTGATGTGAGGATCAGTCCCAAGCCAGATGTGAGAGTTTCTGGTGCAGAGTCGTGGCCAAGAGAATTGCCAGCCATGTCAGGAGCCGGCCTCTACGGAACCATCAGTTTCACTACTGTACACACTGCCGAGAGGGCACTAGATGTTACACGCAGTTAGAAACACTCATGTAAAGCTTGATTGTATACGAATTTATTTTGTAAATAGTTTTATTAGAATGGTTTTGAGTTTCTTAAGCTTTTCTTTTTCTTTTGCTTCAATAAATTCTCTATTCTCTTCGAATAACCAATCATTTTCTTTAAACGTAAACCTTATAAGTTGATATTTTCCTTATAACTCGATGGATTCATTCGTGTCCGTGTTAACATTAGAGGAAGCTTTATTATGTAGCTCTGAACAAAGTGTTCCACACCAAGCTCGAGTTCAAGTTAACTTAGTAAGAATGAGAGCGTATTCAGGCTATTTCTAGTAATTTGAAAGATTAACTATTCCAGGTGGAGGATTCAACTACATTTACGACTTCTGTTCACTATTTCATCTGTATCGTCAGTATTCTTATTTGTAGTGAGGAGGTATTCCTTAGATTGAAAGTAATCAAGCTTTACAATATTGTAGGCGGAAATGGCTTCATAGTAACCATGCCAGTTGTGTATTATTTTGACCATAATAATTTACTTTGAATCCTCGACAATAACTAATTTTTTATGTCATATTGTTACATGTTGTTATTGTTTTCATTCTAACGGAAGTGCTGATTAGTCTATGTGAGCAGTATTTAAGGGTTTAGATACATAATATGTTACTTGTTTCAGTTGTAATGAAGCCACTTAGTATCAGCTTATCTTTAATTTTTTTAGAATTAATAACAAAATATGTATATTTTTGTTGTCTTAAGTGTAAAGAATGTGTTTACATAAACTTAAATATGGATTCTTCTCATTTCCTTTCTAGTTTTTTCCAAGAAGTTTTTTCCAACTGGGTTTGGATGAAAGTAAAACAGAGAGATTAATTAAGACAAGTTAATTCATTAATGGTTCGTATTAAAATTTTCTTATTACTTACATTGGGTTGATCTAAACAGTCTGAATTATTTTATACAGTATAAGAGTAGTTTTATAAATTAAAACTTTTTGTTAAAGTTGTGATGTATATATTGTGCTTTAAATTTATTTCCTAAATTAGCGAGTTAGTTATCAAACAAAAAACTATAAACATGTAATTACTTAAACAAATATTTGTAGAATAAAACTTAAGTTATACTCACCATAGTTAGAGATTTTACCATTAATCTCAGGTTCATTGTAAATCATTTTCCTTGTTGTAAAAAGGATTTACCTTCTAGTAAACGTGTCTCTAAACTGGTAGTGATGAGTAGTTACCCTCTGCAATTGTTAATTTTTTTCAAACAATATGGTTATATAATGTATGTACATATTAGTGCTACAATATTGTGTAAGTAGCTTTTTTTTTAATAAGAGAGTTGTTAATGGTTTGTTATGTAAGTATTGTAAGATAATTTGTTTGCCCTAAAATGTAAAACATGAGACTAAGGAAATAAAATGAAATTTACCAAAACATATTTTATTTAAATGAAATACTTAGTATAATCAAAGATATATCAATGAAATGCATACTGTTATCATGCAAGAGTGGGGAAAAATGGTTGGGGAAATATTTTCTTTTGCATACTTAATTTTTAGTTCCGAAACGAAAAAACTAATGTAAATTAATACAACACTGTTTTAGCTATGTTTACTTGGCATAGTTGATGGATGGCTGCTTTACTCTGAGGTTTTAGAATTAAGTTGAAACTTGCAGCCCTCGATGCACTTCACCTAGACTTATCTTTCCTTCCGTTTGTGGTCTGTGATAGCTTATTTTAGGACATTGTTTGGATGATGTTCACTTTGGAGGAAAGTAATATCATTTTTAAACGTTGAAAACATTTTCAATATTTATTGGCTAAGCCTTTTTTTATATTTGTTGTCATTCATCTAATGTATATTGTTCATTTCATTGTTATTACTCTAACCTATACGTTGTAAGTTGTCATTGCCATTCTCATCTTGCTATTTTATTATTTGTTAATTGAGCTGTTTAATTTAATGCAACTCATCGTATAATTCACAAAATATGTTATATTTCATGTTCAAACCACCTTCACAAGTTAAAAAAAATCATATTACAGTAAACAAAGTTAAATTATTAATTCATTATTATTACTTGTACTTTTTATTTTATCTTATTGCAAGTACAAAATATTCTTTATAAATATACAAACTAGAATACTTTTTGACACAACTTACAAAGTCCAAACAACTTACAAGACTTCAAAACATAAATTGTTAACTATGCTTTGAGGTTTACAAAAAATGACATAATTTAGTGAAACTAGTCGCTGTTTGGAAGAATGGTTGCATAATGGTTGTATATGACACAACAGTAAAATAAAAATACCGGTACATAATATTTTTGGCTCAGATTTTAGAAGGAGAGGAGCTGCCTGGCGGCAGTATAGTTTTATATTTTATATTGCAATCCTGTTTCAGAATGTTAATTAATTTATACTTTTACTCTTTTTTTACTTATTTGGTAAGTGTAGGGAATGTTACTGAAACATAAATTCTTATTTTAATTTCAATATTGCACAATATGAAATTTGCATTTTGCCCTAAAAAACGTATTAATAAATAGTTCGATTTTTTTATTCTTGCCCTGGAAAATAGTTTTATTCATCAATCTCAATTACATTGCCATGTTGGCATTGATCATAATAATGTGTTTAAATTATATTTAATGTTGGGTATGGATTTGTAAATAAAGAAGAAAGATATATTTTGAAAGTTGAATGAAGAGCTTTGTGAAAATAAGCTGTTTTATTGCTTACCCTTTAATTCTCGGAACGGCTGAAGGGAGCCTCTCGGGATGAAGCAAGATGAAGATGATAACCTAACATAACTAACCAAACTTGTTGATGATGAAAAAATCAAATGAAAGTTTGTTCATAAAATAAAATTATAAATGCCTCAAATTCTAACAAAAGAAAAACTTAAGTGTCGCCGATCGAATTCGATCTAGAAACCTGTTGCACATCAGCCGAGTACTCTATCCACTACACCACAAACACCGATGGCTCCACCAAAGAAAGAAGCAGATGAATTTGATTACTCAAGTCGCGAGAAACAGTGACGTCATCATCTTCATTCCGAGAGGCTCCCTTCAGCCGCTTTCTTTAACTCTAACAACTGAATCAGGTAAAGCTGTATGCCATACAATTATATCAACTTCCATGGAAGTTCTTTGAATCAAGTACATTTCATTGTTTGGTTATGTACTAAATAATCCTTTATCTAATTGATCAGTTAGTATAATATTGATGAGCAACCTGTTTACACAGTAAAATTGTTGTACAGTATTATTTGTGAATATTTTGTAGTATAAACTTCACAATCCTTGAGCTTAAACCCACAAAGGGGTGCTGTTTTGATTTAATTTGTTTACTAAGAATAATTGTTGTAAATACCTGCATTTATGTGATCAATTGTTTTGCTAAATTTCAAACGCTTTTAAATGCGATCAGGAGGCTAAAATTCAATTAATTTAGTTTGTTTCTTATCAAAGTGTTTTAAAAATTAATTGACATAAATTCACTATTGCTAAAAAAAAAAAAACAGAATTAGTTCTCCTTTAAGAAAATATAAAAGAATATCGAGGGCCTAATTCCAATACCACGTATGAGGAAAATGCCTACTTTACAGGAGAGCGAAAAAATGTTGTAATTATTATGCTTTTACGAAAAACAGCTCATTACTTTATAGGAATGTACATGTAGTTATTAAATTTGATAAAACAAACCACTTCTTATGTTTATTTACAGGAGTTATTATAAAAAAAAGTAAGATACGAGGTATTATAGTAAACTTTTTTTAAATGTGCCAGTTGGAGGGTTAACTTACGTGGTATTGAAATTGGGTATACGAGTTATTAGAATTTACCAATTTGTAAGATACGAGGTATTGCTAAATAAACACTAAGCATTTTTATTATAACAACTTTATTGTTATAATAAATATTTTATTGTATTACAGAAAAAAATTAGAGTATAAAATTATTCCTTAGCAAAAAAGTTAATACAATAATTTTATTTTTATAACAAGTTATAACGTATTTTTACAGTAAGAATATTCCTCCTTCTAAGACCTCGTATCTTAACACTGATTTATGACAACATATTACACAAATTGTAATAAAGCCACAAATAAACTAATTGCATATATACAAAACTGAGTTAATTCTATCTTATATTTACTACATTTTGAACACTGAAATTCACTTTTTCACTATGAAACTGGGGAAACTGCATAACAATAACAGACCGGCACAGCTGACCACCTTTTGCACACTGTAAACAATACAAGATACGTGTTGCTAGAAGGAAGGTTTACCAATACTGCAAGATACGAGGTCTACATTTCCCATTTTTTAAAATTATTTCCCATTTTTATAGACTTACGAGGTTTTAGAATTAGGTGAGAGACAATGAAATCTATCGTTTTTACTATAAATCTCAAAACCCTTTGGAAGATACGTGGTATTAGACTTAGGCCCTCGATATATTCTTGTACTCCAAATTGATAAATAATGTTTTAAAATATTATTTTTAAGCACTACAAAGGATTTTATTTAAGAGTCGGCAGGAACACTGGCCATCTTGGATTTTATGCTCTTAATGGCGATGTTAATGGTTGAAGTATATTACGGCATTGTTTATTAATATAAAAAGCTGCAAAATATCTCATTTTATAGCAATAGATATGATTTGCTATCTACTTTAAATTTTTTTATTATTTAATTGTTTAATTATTTTATTTTAATTGTTATTATTTTGTCAAACTACATTCATAAATTGACTTAAACTGTGATTTTTTTCAACCTCTTAAACAAAAGTTTTAAAGATCCGAAAAGCAGTTCACACGGAAAATATATTTAAAGCTCCGTGTACACGTAGCTAGTTTACTAGCAGCTAGTATTCGCTGCTAGCACTAGCTAGGCACACTAGCGCGAAAATTCCCATCTACACAAGGCTAGTTTTTAGCGCTAGTCATGTAGAAGTGAAGTGTTCATTGGTCGCAATTAATAGTCATTTCAGTTTAGCACAAAATGTCTTCTGTTCCCTTAAATCGAAATGTTTTGAGACAAATTTTAAGAATTGGTGTACAAGAGTTGTGTGAACATGAACTTAATCAAAAGAGACGATCTGTGTGGGTTCGAAAGTGGATTAGGAGGCGAGAACTTCTTGGTGCGTCCGATACTCTTTTAAGAGAACTGGCATTGGAAGACCCTACAAAATACTTTAAGTTTAAGTACTTTAAGTACTAAGTACTTTAAGTAACAAACACTTCTACTTGTCAGACAAACAACAACTGATGTACTATCACTGGCGTATGGCGAGTGGCGATTAGCACATTAACCCTTGCCGTCAGACCGCCACCGCCCACTTGGTCCACCACTGCTCGAGCGAACACCATTACCGCATTGATACGTTGAATAGCCGTCTTACTGTGGTGGTGTAGTCAACGAGCACATAATATAAACCCAACGAGCACATTTATATTGTGTGCTCGTTGGGTGTAGTGGATAGCGCACCGGGCTGGTAATACGTTGGTAGCAGGTTCGAAACCTACCGGAGGCATTAACTTTTTGACTCGATTTTTTCATTATCAACAAGTTTGGTTGGTTTGGTTAGGTTATGATAGTTGAATTTTATAATTAAAAAATTATATAATTGATTTTGAGACATTTATAATTTTATTTTATGAACAGAACTATTTTTGTTATTAAAACCTTCATTCAAAATTTTCATTATCAGCAAGTTTGGTTAGGTTTTGACAGTTAAATTAATTTAAATTTAACCTACAAACGACACGTTTTGACAGTGACAGTGATAGAGATATCAATTTCCCACGAACAGTTCGGCTATGCACGGTATGATGCGTTCTGTACGGTGCGGTGGTGGGCGGTGGCGGTCTGACGGCAAGGTCTCGTATTAGCACTAGCAGAAGTGCAAATACCCCGCTAGTACCTCGCTAATTTGCTAGCACTAGTGGTCACGTGACCACCCCCTCCACTTATTAGCGCTAGTAATATCAAACATGTTCAAAACGACTAGCAGCGAGTAAAATGCTAGCGCGCTAGTAATTTTTTACGCTAATAGACCGTTTACAGAGCGAATTTATTAGCGCTAATCAACTAGCTGCTAAAACTAGCCTTGTGTACACGGGGCTTATGAATCATTTTGATTTTCTGTTTGATAATCAAGCTTATGATGCATGATTAATATGCTTTAACGTGAACGCATGATTTTGCTGATCGGCGCTAGGACAATCTCAGTTTAGCCTGACATCTGACGGTCAACAACACAAAAATTATTGACTCCTGCTGACTTTTAAGTTTATGATCAACGATCTAGGGTATTTTCTTGGTTTTTTAACCGTATTCCAATAAAAACAACCATAACTAATTATCATGAATAAGGGAAAACATTCTAATGCAACAGATTTCAAGTCATTTTATTATATTTAAACATTATCGTACTTGTAGAAATAAACTATTCGTTTGGAGCAGAGAGGACAAAATTGTCCCCTGCTGTAACATTCTTTGGCACAGTCCATGCAGAATGACATGTGTGAGTTATCGAAGTGCACGACACACGTGTCTGCGTTCTGCAGTTGGCAGACCTCACAGTTTCCTCCTTCAGACGACGGGGAGGTCCTAGCCTCCAGTGCCACTGTTGGTCTACATTTGTGCAGTGAATTTTTACTGCTGCCTGTAAGCAAATTTAAGATAAATAAATATTGTAAATTCAACTGACATTCTCTAGTTAAAAATTAATCGGTGTATTATTATGGTTGGAATTCTGTTTGATTATGTTATATAAGTTTCAAAATATATGCAGTGATGTATAGATCTGATCTACACAGAATTGACCATTATGTTTACTGTGATTAACATTCTGCAATAGAAATGTATTGAACAGTAACATTAATAAAGACAATCAACCACAAACACTGCCTCATTGGCCTGTAGACTATATATTAATGAACAGTTGCTATTGTAAATAAAACAGAAATAGTTGTTGAGGATGAAACTATAAAACACAATCAATGATGCCACAAGCGTTCTTGTATAAAAGTCTGGGACAAAATGCACTTTTATGGCAAGACTTCTGGTAAGGTAAGCCCTTGCTACGTTTTTAGTTATAGTACAAAAATAATTTAACGACTGAATCAGTATGTTCCAACCTTCAAAGTAATCATTCAGGTCACTTGTAGAATCTTGCTGCGATGCCCAAGAAGTGTTATCAGAGTTAAATCCTCCATTAGTCACTTCCTTGGCTTCATTATTATTCTCCATTGCAAGAAGCAGTTGTTATACTTTCAATATCCTAGAATCAATTATAAATTTAAGAGTCTGTTCTTTCCCATATAAACATGTTACTGCTTTACAACATTAATATTTTATTGCACAATAGTTAATTTATATTTTAGTACTTCATAAGATACGGGTATTTATTGGATATTTCAGTCTGTAATGACAGATTGAAGTAGACTTGTCATCATTTTTTGTTATGTATAAGAATGAGGTAAGTATTTTATATCAATCATCAAGAAGGGGAAGCCAGAATCTAACAATATATATAACACATTGTATTTCAAATGCTTTATACTGAGGATATATGAGAAATTTTGACATTTTTGGTCTGTACTTGAGTCAAATACTGGATTCGTTGTATACTCCTAATTTAATCTAAGCAATAAACTTACTTGCTATCCAATTACATATATTCCTTCTTTTTAAAGGCTGTTGAAGTCGCTATTTTTATTTTCTCAAACGATGCAAGATTATGATTGCTACAAACAACAAATTTGGTTTATGATTTTCTATTTTCTTCAGTGAATTAAAATGTTGGAATTTTTTTAACATTGCTTGGCAACAACTTTATTCTTATATTATCATTATTGTAGAGAAGTCTAGTAGTGCATGTGCACGCCTCAAGGCTGTAGGTTTCACTGCGGAACAAGATAAGTGTACACTTTTTGCATCAAATTTGGAGTTCTTGGGGTTGACTATAGATAAACATGGGCTTCACACCTCGCAAGCCAAGATAAAAAGCGTTTGTCGATGCCCCTGTACTGAGAAATGTGATAGAAGCTAAATCTTTTCCTAGCGAGACTCAATTTGGTTTTCGTAAAAAGTTATCCACAATAGATGCAATTGAGTCGATGTTGTTCAAAATTATTAAAGCTTTTGAAGACGGGAGCTTTGCTCAGATTACTGCTTGTAATTTGAGCAAAGCATTCAATCTTGTAGATCACTCAGTGTTATTAGATAAATTACATTTTTATGGCATTAAAGGTTCGTGTTTAAAGTTTTTGGAATCATACTTGCATGGAAGATCTCAGTTTGTTGAGTTGAAGGGTGATCGTTCAAGATGTCTGGATGTAATAGTGGGAGTACCACAGGGTTCTATCTTGGGGCCTTTATTATTCCTTTTATCAATCAATGACCTACCTGCCAATGTGTCCCTTTCTTCAACTACAATTTTTACATACGACACAACCTTTCTTAGTATAAGCAATGATACAAATGTCTTGTCTAATATTGCCAAAAATACTATTTTTGAAGCCAAGCAATTGTTTAATGCTAATGGTTTGATTATTAATGAGAATAAAACTTAACACTTACTCTGTCAGACTAGAAATAGAGTCGAGGATTACAATGAACCAAATGACATAAAAATTGTAGGTTTAGTGATTGACAACTGTTTGACCTGGTCTCAACACATTGATTTCATTAGTGGCAAGATGGCTAGGTTTATTTATCTTCTTAAATGTCTTATCTCTAGTCTGCCTCAGAGTTATTTAAAGTCTGTGTATTATGCATTTTTTCACTCAATTTTAAGATATGGTGTTTTGTTATGGGGAAATAGTACCCATGTAAATAATGTTTTGTTAATTCAAAAGAAGGCTGTGAGAATCATAGCTAGATCTCGCCGAAGAGCACATTGTAAACCTTTGTTTGTGGTCACTGGCATATTAACTGTCATTAATGTTTTTATCCTGCATTGTCTGATCAATGTTAAGAAAAATTAAAAATAGTATGATTATGATTTGCGCCAAGATATTCATGGTTATAACACAAGGAATAGGGGCCTAGTTGATGTACCTTACTGTAGGCTACACAAAACTGCAAACAGTCATTTATAGCACCGAATATTTATTTGATATCAAATAGCTATCAAATTTTTGACATTTGAATATCAAATTGATATTCACGAACATTCATTTGATATCAAATAAACGTTCAATTTAGGTTCAAACGTCACTCAATTTTACATCAAATGAATATTCAAATCGAATATAAAATAAATATCAAATTTGACATTAATAAATTTATTGGTAAAATATGATAAAGAGAATATGATTGAATTTACATTCACATTTTAAATATGATGGTGATAAATATTGATATAACATTTTTGACATTCAAATATTAAATTGATATTCGCGAACATTCATTTGATATCAAATAAATGGTCAATTTAGGTTCAACCACACTTAATTTGACATTAAATAAATATTAAATTGAATATCAAATAAATGTCTAATAAATTTATTGGTAAAATATGTTTAGAAGAATTAGGTTGCATTTTTTCACATTTCAAATTTCATGGCGATTAAAATAATAGCAGTTCAGACCTCTATACAGTTCTTACCTTGATTTGAATTATTATTCTGAAGTTATAGGTAGTTTGTTAAAGTTCTTGGGTTACCCAAAAATTTAAATATATATATATATATATATACATATATTTCTTATTTGACAAAACATGAATAAAAGTATCACAAAACATATTTGTTTACAACAAAATTGCATTCAAGGAAAACATTTTAAAGAAAAAACGTTGTTTGTATTATAAAATAAGTTTAATTAAAAATTATTTAAACACAAATAATATAAAAAAGACATGTACTATTTACAAAAAAAAAAATTCTGGTCTTCTTCATCTCCCAAATGGCCTTCTTGATTTTTCTATTGTTCCTGTAAAAGAGGTTCAACAGAGTTATTTTCTAAGACAACTATAGATAAAATATAATATGTTAGACAAGGGGTCTCCAACCTTTTTTTCCTCGGTAAGCACTTTTTTGTCTAAAAACGCCACCGATTTAGCGACTAACGTTAATTGTTCGTTACTCTATCGAATCACAACATCATCTACTATCGATGCGATTGTAGTTGTCGTTTGTCACAAGGTAAAGGCTTTTTGTGATACGGACGAAATGAGAGCATTCTATTATAAAATTAAACTGTCATAACCTAACCTAATTAACCAAACTTGCTGATAGTGAAAAAATCGAATTAAGGTTTACTACGGACAAAATGAGAGCATTCTATTATAAAGTTAAACTGTCATAAGCTAACCTAACTTGCTGAGAATATAAAAAATATACAAGATAAAAATCGAATGAAGATTAGATTTAACAAGAGCTTAGGTTTGCTGCTATGGAGAAGGTAAAAAGTTTTTTTGAGCATCAGTCAATAGTAGCCTATAGGTTAAAGTAAATAAGTTTGCCAAATTTTATCAAAATCTATCCATAAACAAGTAAACTACATCAGTATCCGTTGTTTAATAATCTAAAATAAAGTTCTGTTCATAAAATAAAATTATAAATGCCTTTAATTCTAACAAAAGATGTGCAGTTAAGAAGTAATCGCATTCTAAGCTAAATCTTTGACAAAAAGTGCAATGATTTTTTAGTGAGAATAGGCTATATAATTTGATACTTAAAATGTCAGCTAGTTTAAGATTTCAATTTGTAGTTCTGCCAATTAGGATCAATTTAAAATATATATATTTAAATTAATCTGCCGCTACTTGACTAAACTTACTGCTAATATTTCCCTAGGCCTATTGAGAAAAAATTAGCAAGTGAGAGACATTTACTATGTTCCTATTTAAATACGTTAGCCTGCCAACTTGGAGACAGGGAATTGTACACTAATTTTGTTGAATGGGGAAAAGACAGTTAATTGCTCTTAATTATGGTATGAGCCGCGAGGTAAATAAATATCCCATGGCTGAGCCTGCATTCATTGACAACGTTCTCTTTTTACACCTCAAGGAAATCACGGTCAACAATGACGGGTGTTGCTGGGATTGCAAAAGACAATCACGGCACCGTCGAGACTGCAGTATAATATGCTCATGAGTCTTGGCGAAATCACAGGAGATGATCACGGTATAGCTGAGACCACCTGACCACACGTGTTTACGCAATCGTGGGAGAATATCATTGGTGTTTGCTATAAAAAATAATAATTTTCAAAAATGTATGCTGGCTTTCTGCTGGCTGGAATAAAACTGCACGAGGGCCGGATGTAGCCCCCAGGCTGTAGGTTGGAGACCCCTTGGTTAGACACTTTTAAGACCTATTTTTTTACTATAACTGTACTTTATAATTAAATTTTTCCGATAAGGCATTGAGTTCTTGACAATAAAGAAAAAAGAGATGGATAAAACCGCAAATTAAGTTTTGCTCATTTGCATAGCCTGTCACTGAAAATTCACAATTGGAAAAGAAAACATCACAGTAGTTAGATGTAGGCCTACTCTGTTAATTATGATAAAATTTAAGTTCTATATTAGGTAATTAGATAAGCAATCTTTTCTTTAACCTAAATTATAAATAACACAATAAATTTACCTTGCATCAATCCTAAACTTTGCTGGGCGAAGCCAATTCTTGATTATAGTAGCAACAACATATATTTCCATTACACCACGATCCTAGTGTTCTTGCGTACCGGTACTGCCTCTGTATAATAAGAGATTAGTATTAGCACTAGAATTTGTGTATTTTCATTTTCCTGATCAACACCCAGGATATCCTACAACTAGGTACACATATTAAATTGTTAGTGAAATAAATTTTATATTTTGATGGTCTTTGCTTCTTTTGAGTAGCCTTGTTAAAGCTAAATCTAAATCTGAAAATTGAAAATTTTGACCTAGGTAGTGGTAAAAGTAATCCTCAGTCACTTAAACGGACAAATATTGGGGTAAGCACTGACTGAAATGAGTGCAACAGTCGGATGTAGTTTGGTGTGTGTATAGGCTTATAGTGTGGCCTTGCCTATGTGTGCGTTTAAAAACTAATACAGTTTTCTTTTACATAAGTTAGCACTGCCGGAATATTTATATAGTGTAAATCAAAGACTTCCTATATAAGTGGGTCACAAAAAAGAAAAACTCTCTTAACTGTGTGATGAACCTTAGGCTACGTTAATACCCAATAGGTACCTATCATGAATTAAGTTGTGTTTTGGCGGTAGGGCCTAACTTACCTACAGTTCCTAAGAGAACCTGCGATATATTATCGGACGGTATATATATCCGATTCGATATTAATATTGCAAAACCAGATCACCAAATCTGCAAATCATAACTCAATTTGATGTTTACATAGTGAAAAAACATAGGGAACGGTGTATTGAATCGAATAATTATTGATATATAATGTTATTCATCTGATAATATATCGCAGCTTCTCTGCGGAACTGTACCCTTTATGGCGAAAAAGAAATACTTAAAAATCCCCAACATCACATAATACAAGATCACAGCAAGAAATTGTATGGCGAATCAAACAGAAAAATTGAAATAAAAACACCAAAAGATTGTAACTTTGTAATACCTACTGTAGGTATAACTTATTTTAACTTTGAGAAAACCTAATTGAAATATATGTAAGTCTACCTATTATTAATGTCTTGGATTGTAAATAAACAAAAAAACTTACGCAAGATAGCTGGCTTCAGATGCAGATTGCAAAAGAAAAATTTATTCCTCCTTCCCAGCCTACAGGCTGCTAGACAGCCACTTTGTCACTCGGGAGAATTGGTAGGTAAATTATTCACTGCTACCAAATAATAACTTCCACCAAAGCTGCAGAGTTATCAACTGAAACAATGGAGAGAAAACTACTTTTAGTTAAATTCATGCATACCTTTCTCTGACCAAAATATCAAGATTAGTTAGGCCTAATGCACAATCTTTTTCCTAAGCCCGTCACATCAACTTTGAGGTATTCTAATGGCAATATACAATGTGTAGAATAATCAGTATGAGTATGATTGAGGCAGTCCCCTAAATTACGAAGTCAACCATATAGATTTTGCCATTTAACTTCGTAATTAAGGGAACTGCCTCAATCATACTCATCTATCTATCTATATATTAATAGGCAAGCATGTTTCTTTAAAACCTTTTTTCTCAGCTCGTGTGCATCGTAGGGAAAATCTACGCATACCGTTGGAAAGCTTTTTTCCTGTAGGTGTGCAGAATCCCTTTATAAATTTAAATAGGCTCAAAG